AAGGTTATATTAGTCTGCTTCTCCAGAGTTGTTTTTAATTACTTAACCTCGCTTGCATTAGCATCGAGGGCAAATTTTAATCCCTTAATCTCAACCGTTAGGTCTCGGTCATAAGGTAACGGTCATGAGCAGCTGTGACGCGACGTCGGAGGCAGTTGGTTGCTGAGGAGCTGATCTTGCAGGGCTAGAGCCCCTATAGCTCAATTGTGTACTTTTTTGGGCTTTTACACAATTCGGGCATGCCCAATTCTTCCTTGATGCCCTTAATTTTTCGAATTCACCTTCGTTCGGGTTAAGGCATTTACCATGAAAAATGGCTTGACATGTAGTGATAGGGCATGTCAATGTTTTTTTGTCTTCTCTGGTAACTGTCTGTCCACAAATAGGGCATGAAACCATCTTGTCTGGCAAAAATAAAATGGAAAATATAGAAAAATGTATAAAATTTTTTTTTAAAAATATGTTAATTGTGAAATGAAATGAAATGAAATGAAAAGAATGTTTTATTATTCTGGGACTGTTGTCCCTTAAGAACAAAATATGAATACAGATTATATGTCTGTGTGGCTACAATTGAATTGTATATTTACAATGAAAGTTGACTTACGATAAAAATACAGAAAAGAGAAAAAAAGAACAAGTAAATTGTACATATGTATGAGAAACTAAAATAACCTTAATAAATTGAGGTAGTCTCTGGTGGTGCTCAGATATTTCTCTAAGATATATTTCACAATCATTCGGATTGAGAAAGGAGTAGGTGCTTAAAGAGGAGTGGTTTAAACGAGGAAACTGATTGAGCGTGTCGAATATCAGCTGGGATGGAATTCCAGAGGGAGGCGGCTTGTATTGCAAAGGATTTGTCAAACGCAGCAGTTCGGTGAGGAGGAGGATAGAGGTCGGAAGTACGAGATCTGGTGGGACGGGATTGGATGGAATATTTGAATTGTAAGCTGTGAAAAATGTAGGAGGGTCGATGGGTTCTAATAATTTGGTACAGAAAGGTGGCTAGGAAGTACTGACGGCGATAGGATGGGTAGAGCCACCTCAACTCAGTGTAATACTGGGTAATATGCGTATCCCTTGAGATTCCGAAAACAAATCGTAGTGCGCAATTCATTAGGCGTTTAAGTTTGGCCTCGGAATCTCCCGGGAGTCCACCGTACACCATACAGCCGTAGTCGAAGTGGGGGAAAACAAGGGAGGAAACTAGGAGTTGACGGGACTTATATGGAAGGAGATATCGTAGACGATTGAACTGTTTTAGGGTGGAGATAGTGCGACGGGAAATTTGGGATATGTGAGGTTTCCAGGATAGGGATTGATCGAAAGTAACACCTAGGTTTTTAACGGTGGTGTAGAATAAGATAGGTGAGTTGTTCAGGAAGAGATTGGGAGATACTGGGGAGGATTTGAGGAGTGAAGGGGATCCGATCAAGATGGCTTTTGTCTTCTCGGCGTTCAGAGTGAGCCTATTGAGGTTTGCCCAAGCACTTATTCTGTCAATATCTTCCTGAAGTTTTTGAGTGGCATCTGAGATATCTGTCGGATTAAAGGAGAGGTAAATTTGAATGTCGTCGGCATACAGGTGGTAATGACAGTGCAGGATAGAGGATGGGAGGTCATTTATATAGATGGAGAAAAGGGTGGGGGATAAGGAAGAGCCTTGTGGGACGCCTCTGGTCAGAGGTAGAGATTCTGATGGTGGGTTATTAGGAATTACAACGTACTGGGAGCGACCGGTTAGGAAGGATTGGAACCAATTAAGGGAACTAGAAGAAAAAGAGATATTTTTAAGTTTGGTTAGGAGGATGTTGTGGTCTACTGAATCAAAAGCTTTGGAGAAGTCTAGGAGAATAAGGATGGTTAGTTTCTGCTGATCTATGGCTGTGTGAAGGTCTTGGGAAATTTTGATTAGGGCAGACTGAGTAGAATAACCAGGCCTGAATCCAGACTGGTAGGGATTTAGGAGATTATTGTCCTCTAAAAAATGGGATAGCTGGGATTGGACTAACCGCTCTAATGGTTTTGAGAGGTTTGAAAGGAGGGAAATCGGTCGGAAATCATTAGGAACTGATGGGTTTGAAGTCTTCTTCAATGGGCGTACTAGGGCGGTTTTCCAGGATGTAGGGAAGGTAGCATTTTGAAGAGAATAATTGTATATATGATAAAGGATCGGAAGAATGGATGGCAATGCGGCTTTAATCAGTCTGACTGGGATGTTGTCGGGACCGTAATCATTGGTATGGGACTTCTGAATGGATTTAAGGAGCTCATCTGGTGTAATATGGGAAAGAAAGAAGTGATCAGGATTAAAGGAAGAGAACATAGGAGCCAGACTGGACGTGGGAGATGTGGATGCAAGAGGACAGGAGACAAAGTGAGCGTTGAGGTTATCAGCAGAAACGGAATTGGACTGAGACTGGGGTGTATTACCAATGGTCAGTTTTCTAAGAATAGCCCACGTAGCCTTGGTATTGGGAGAGTTGGATAGGGAATGATGGTAGTAACGGGATTTAGCACGACGTACTGCTGATTGAGTGCTATTTCGAAGCTGTTTGTAGGAGAGAAAATCATCAGGAAGTCGAGTTTGTGGTGATTGTGGTGATAAAAATTGACGTAACCTCAACCTGAACACTGGGGTTTCTGACTTATAGAAGCTAGAACTAGGGCTTATCTAGCGCATGCGCTCCCCACTCCCCGTCTCAACTAAAATGTCTAACACGGTACCTGTAAGCCGACTAAAGTCCTGGCTAACTTTCCTCGCTCCTTTCGGCACAAGTTCCGGATGAAATAAATATGTAATATCACCCGTTGAAATTAGCACATTTAATAGATGAGTCTGGTCAATTTATACAACAAATCTCCGTGTAAAAACCACTAAATTTACTAATTAAACTAAGGTTGTATCACTGCTACACACTAACTATTCAGAGGCGAGAACCACACTGGTGAAGGTTTTGTTTGATTTTTGAAGGTTAAATCCAAAGTTGAAGATTAGAACCATTTTCAGAAACGTTCCGTTATATTCGCAACGGGCAGCGAAATATTTGCACTTTATTCTCGTTAACTCTAAAAGTATTTATTTACATTTATCGGAAATACCATTTTACACAAATTTAAAGTAGATAAAATTCAATAGAAATTTTAGAAAGTAGAAAATTTGCGTAGTTGACAAAAAATAGTTTTTCTCGTCGATTTTACGCTGATAACTGATAATACACACCGCTCTAAAAAATGCAGTATGTTTTGTTTAGCGATGAGAATATTTTTACTATTGTAGAAAAAATTAATCGCCAAAATGATCGTGTGTACGCACACAGATCTAATGAAAGCCATGAAGTCATTGGAAGTGTGGAAAGAGGTTATCACCCTTCCTCAGTGATGGTTTGGGTGGGGGGGGGAGTTTGCTTTGATGACACCACAAAGCTCCATTTTTGTAAAAAAAGGCGTTAAAACAGCCGCTAAAAACTATCAGGACGATATTTTGGAACCTGTTGTCAAGCCTCTAAATGATACTCTGTTTGCTGAAAGTTGGGTTTTCCAGCAGGATTCCGCTCCAGCTCACAAGGCCAGGTCAACTCAGCAGTGGCTGCAAAACAACATTCCAGAGTTCATCTCTGCCTAGGATTGGCCTTCAGGAAGCCTGATCTCAACCCACTAGATTATCTGGCTTTGGTCCGAACTGGAGAGGATGGCATGCCACAGAGCACACCCTGATTTGGAAAGCCTCTAAAAATCTGGTTTGAGCAGTTGAGCGCTTTTCTCAAGAAGTACTGCGTGCTGCTATTGATGACTGGCCACGGAGATTAAATGCCTGTGTCAAGGCAAAAGGGGGACATTTTGAGTAATTTCTTTTTTGTTTTACTCTCTATAGATATACATTTAATTTTCTAATAAAGTTTTTGAAAAAAATAATTTTTCTGTTGAAATCTGTATATATTTCCTTGTAACAATATTTATGACAGGACTAGGTATAGAGTTGTTGATTTGGTGGAATATGAGTGTCCGTCGAGCGTTAGGATTTGGAAGCGTATTTCGGTGTTATGTACAACTATCGAGTTGAATCCGCTTCATCCTTTCCTCTTGTTTCATCTCTTCAATTTACCTATATTTTTGCTAGCATTTGTATTAATATGATCGATGGTAGGCGGGCGTTAGAGCGCTCTTACTTGGAAAAACCTCCAAGTTATAAAGTCATTTAAAGCAGGAGAATTATGAAGAAGCAATAAACATTAATATTGTGTATTTTTCATACTTCCGATAATAGCGAATTTTACTTAGAACTGCTTTCTTCTTATTCATTTTTTTCAGATAAAATTATATAAATTCTAGGACTTCCAGTTTATGAACCATTGATTAAAATCGGGATACATATTTATTTTTAGTAATGCTTTTAATACAGTGAAAGTTTGATTTGTTACCCCTTTTCAATAGAAATTTTTTTACTAAGCATTCAATTTCCTATAAGCATTCTAAGAAAAGAGGCGCATAGCAGTAGATTTAGTATTTATTTAACATTTCCAGAGCCAAAAATGTTTTAAACTCCTCCACTACTGACGGATCTTCGAGAGGAGCCTTCGGAACAATATTGTAAACATTATTGTTCCTGAAGTTGTATTTTTTATTGAAAAAATGAAGTTGGACCCCCAAAATTTAAGCTCTAACCCGCCACTGTCCTGCTCTTACGTGTATCTGGATTATTATTAGATGAAAAATCTTATCTATACCGGGTTATTAGTTTGATTTTAGCCAAATAGAAAAGTAATAGCTTAGGATTTTTTTGTTGACAAAAACGAAATCATAGGCTTTGAAATGGGTTTGTTCAATTTTTTCCAGTTGTTTTTTGATAATGTTGAAATAATGGAATGTTAAAATAGAAAATAATATATAAATTACGGTGCGTTCGATTGCTTAGTTTGTATTGATACAAATTCTATATTTTTTTGACTTAGGTTTTTTAAGTTGACCCTTGTTACTTTTATTATTATATTGCACAGGTGGTTCTTCAGGATGGAAATTCATAGGCCAGGAACAAAATGGTCTCATTCTAGTTAGCTGGGAAGAAACTTTGTCTGGGTCACCAGATGTTGGCTTCATAACTGCAGTTGGACTTTTTAATGTTTCTTCAAATGAACTTAAGGTTAGTTCCAGATTTTTAATGACTTGTTAATACGATTTTTTTCATGTCTATGAATATGAATAAATGAGTCTCATTGAAAAAGAAGTAAAAGAGTTAAATTTTTTTTTTTTTTATATTGAGTATTATAACAATCTGTCTGTTGGACATTCCTTGGTTATAGTGAGGTAGGATGACATTCACACTATATGTACAAAAAAATAAAATAAATAGAACAAAATAATAATCAAAAGTATAATAATAATCAAAAGTATTGAGTTACAATTAGAAAATTAAAAAAAAAAAAGTTACAATATTGCGAAGTTGACACTGATTTTACATTGCTTTAAAAATTATTTTTGTATCTAAAGAGATAAGTTAACAAAGTGCGGGCTCTCTGCCTACATTTCTAGGATCAAAGGTGACTACCTATGGTAAAAAAATACCTCTGCATTCCTTGTACAAAGAACAATTAAGCAACTTGTTCAAGACGAAGGGGTTCATCAACCATTAGCCTCATAAGTATTATTAGAGGATATATATGTTGATGACATTGCTACTGGTGCTTCCACCATTTCAGATTTCGTCAAGCTGAAGGAGGATATAATCACATTATTGAGTAAAGCCGGATTTAAGCTCAGCAAGTGGACCAGTAATTGTCAGGCGCTATTAGACAATATTAGCGATTTGGATCTAGGGAATACCAATGTGGCATTGAATGAGGAAGCGGATGCTAGGATCAAAGTTCTAGGAATATAATAGAATCCAAAATGGGATCTCTTCAGCTACGAAATGGTTATACTACTATGTAATCCTACTAAGAGAGCTATTTTGTTGCACACAGAGTAGTTGGAATAATGTATGCAACAACTAGAGAGCAATGGAATTTTGTATCGTCTGAAAAAAAACCCGGCGGACTGTAATTCTCGCTGACTTTTGCCTTCTGAGCTCTTAAATCATTTATTGTGGTGGAGCGGACCTACATTTCTATCGTCATCAGAGATCAGCTGGCTCTCTCCAATTGTAAGCATTATAAGGACGTTTCTGAGCTTAAAGGAAAAAAACACAGTAATACTGTAGGCTACCGTCGAATCCGAAATCTTGGACGGAGCGATTCAGCTCTTACCCAAAATTATCACACAGCCTATATAATGCGCTTCATGAACGCTACAAGGGATAAATTTACCAAAGAGTCTGTATTAATCTACAGATATGGACCTTGTGTTTTACAGACTCTCTCTGGTAAATACTGTTAAAGATCACACAGAAGCGCTTCAAATCAATTGATTGAGAATAAATCGTTACGACCTCTTCAGCCGTTCATTGACGAGGAGGGTTGTGCCAGGGTGGGCGTTCGTCTGCACACTTCCATTGCCTTATGACACCAAGCACTCATATTTATTTTCATCAGATTGTCACTTGACCAGAATAATTATTGATCATTACCACATATCCTATTTACATCTGCCCTCTATATCGTTGAGAATCGTGCTACAGGGGCAATATTGCATGATTGGTGGCAGAAAATTAATTCAGCAAAGGGTCTTCGATTGCTTCAAATCCTTTAAGGCTATGCGCTTACCTCAAGTCCCCATTACGGGCAGTTTGCCCTCCTATCGTCTCGAAGAAGGAAGTTTGCACATGTCGGTGTTGACTTTGTAGGCCTTTCTTATCTTTATTTCTTATCAGAGTCCTTTAGGCGCAAGGCTATAGTTGGACGTCCGTATTTTTGCCACTTCAAATGCATGGTCACAAAGGCAGTTAATTTAGAGCTGGTATCAAAGTGCTCAACTAATGCCTTCTTAGCTGCATTTTAACGCTTCATAGCAAGAAGAGGATTCCTATTTTCCTAGATTTTCTGGCAAGAGTAATAGAAACCCACGCTGGTAAATACGGCGTTGTACGAGTCTTTAAATATTTTCCTAAATTAAAAATACTCCAGACTTCAATTCCATGATGTTCTGCGTGAAATTGGACCGTGGTTTTTGCAAACTTGTCCTTGAATTGCACTATCATCTGTTTCAATGTTTCCTATATGTTTATGATATATATATACTCAGTATACACATTGCAATATTAAAAAAAAATTGATCCTATATTAGCCTTCTGTTTTCTATTAAGGACCAAAATGAAATTAGTTACAATTGTATTTGTTCTTTTATATCAATAATTTCCTATATATTTGACAGGTCTTGTATAAATTTGATAGAAGCGTAAACATAGTACAAGCATCCATCAATGAAGCGAAGTCAGTTTTAGGTAAATATATCAATTTTTATTAACTTATTTTATTCATGGTGATTGAAATCTATTTATTTAGAAATTATTCTACTCGTACTATTGTATCCTTCTATATAATAATATTCTATAAGTAACGACTTCAGGATAATTCCAGCCAAACCAAACATGATTTTTTAGTATTTGCTCAGGGTCATTCCTCCCCGATGGCGGATTCAAGGGAGCCTTTAAATGGGACTTTTTTTTTCATTCGTCGATATTTGTTTCTATGAATGATCTGAGCCAAATATATAATCAATTTCAATATTTTCTCTTTGTAAATTATAACACATGTTATCAAATATCATCACGTATCAATTGATAATATGAACATTTTAACCGTTAAAGCATTATTGTTTCTGTACCAAAGTTAAAAAAGTTTAAACCTCCCCTCCCTCCCAAAAAATGATATGGGGGCATTAACTGATTAGATATAAAAAGTTTAATCTCAGTGGCTTAAATAGTAAAGGAAAAGGTATTAAGAAGTAAAGAGGGGATGCTCCTCTTCTTGCAGTCTAATTCAATCTGCACATACATTCCGACTACCCCTTGCACTCACGCATTTCGACGATTGCTCCTTAACGATAATGTTATGTAAACATAAGAATACCTATGAGTTCAGGTAAATATACAACAAAAACTAAAAGGATTTTAATTTAATCATGATTTATTATCACAACACGACCATTTATTAAAAATATTAATAAACTTCTAGATGTCTCTATATAAGCCCTAGTATTTTCTTTGAAATAACTCCCTTAAATTGAATCTTCCCTTTACTTAATTTCTCATGCATCCCTTGGATCGGTGTCCCCTGGCACCCTCGAGATCGTGGAACTTAATTTACTCCATTGTCCACTAGTCCACTGGTTTAGCGTCAGAAGAAGAGAACGTTCCTTCCTCAATGAGTTGCATACTTATGCAAATCGCTGAGGTAGAGTATTATTGGGATATAACAAGGGTTTAGAATCGTAGAAAAAATTCCACCTATTATTTAGGATTAACTGGAAAGAAGTGACAAATAAACCGAGAGGTAAAAAAATAAAATAAAATAAAGGATATTTTATTATGTGACTGCTAATTATAATACTATTACTAAAAAATTTTAAAATTGAGAACCTCTTTCGACGGATAATATGTTTTTTTTCTTTAAAATAACATTTATGCTTTAACCTTTATTTCGATATTATGTAATTATTATAAATCTATATATTTAAACACTTTTTAAGTAAGTTTTTATTTCAGTCTTTCTAATTATCCAAATTTTCGCATAATAATGTTAACTTGAATCATGAAATTAATTAATGTTGAATCATCAAATTAATTTATAAAAATTTAAAACACTACTCCGTTCGACTAGATCCCGTACTTCCGACCTCTACCCACCTCCTCACCGAATTGCTGCGTTTAACAAATCCTTTTACACAGTGGGCCAGACCCCCTTACCGTGCACCCCCTCCCCCACATCCCTATAAATTGCATATCGTTGTGTTCCTTGTGACAATTTATTAAAAAAAAGCCAATGTTCCCACAAAAAAAAGTGAACGAACTGCCCCAAAATGGCGTCCAAACATGGCGGATTGACGACTTTGACTTTAGTTAGTTTTTTTGTTACTGAGAATCAGCATTTGGCTTAATTTCATTATAGTTGGTCTTTTATTAAAGCTGGATAGTCAGAGAATAATAAAACATGAAAAAATATTAAAAACTAATTGGCTTAGGCATTAAAAAAAATCGGTAAAGTCAATTTTTTTTACAAAAAAATTTTCGAGTTGAAAATCAAGCGTCGTTTGTAATTAAACGGTCAACAATAATGCAAAACGTGCTGAAATAAAACATCTGGAGAATACATTTCTCTTTCTAAAACACTGATTACTTTTTAAAATATTTGAAGTAGTTCCGTATAAAATGTACTTAAGCGGCAGAAAAGCGCTACTGGCGTGGGTGCCTACAGGCCTCTACCACACCACTCAGTACTCATAAATGGCTTAGTTATAGTGCTATAATAACGTTTTTGTTATATTTTATTGATTATATTAACGAACAAATATTAATACAATAATTTAATTGTAAAAAATTATTTTTTTTTTAATTTATTATTTTTGTTTTTATTTTCATCATTATTTTTTTTTAATTTAACTTCATTTATTCTATACGGAGATCGCTTAAGAAGGCCTCTATTATAAAAATTATAAAATTATAATAATAAAACTTAATTCAAAAATACTTTGCAGAATATCTTGATTTTTTTATTTAATATTTGCAATTTAACATTTTGTTTTATATATTTACTGATTCTTAGAGGTAATTTAAATTGTATATACTTCCCCGGAAATGAGTCATATTAATATCTGTTTTATAAACTAAAATAATATATACCTAATCTGAACTGCTTTTAATGAATAGGTGATGGATTGTTTAGTAAAATTGTTATATCGCTATTAAAAAAACCATTTTTATTTCCTTTATTTTATTCGAAAGTTGGACCATATCATAAAAATAGGAACTTTAATATTAAGTGTATTATCCCTCTGCACAAAAGAAATATGGAAAGGGCGAAGCTATAAGTTCTTCTATGTAACTGGAACTGATTGTTAGTATTTGGTCTCAAAATGAGGGAAAACGCGAAATTGAACCCAAAAATTGGAAAAATACATTAAGCGAACGACAAAGGAAGTGCAAAAATTTCGGAAAAGAAAACAAGGATCAGTATCTATTATATGGCTAAACGAATATATAGTAGACAGATGAACAGAATATTTCAAGATGCTCCTAAAAGAGGGTAAAAATGCTTGATGGGTTTGGATGATGTTAATCAGGTTTATTATGGTGAAGAACACTTTATCAGCAAGAAAGATTTGTTCTAAGCAATTGGCAAGCAGGTCTGGAGGAAGTAAACGAGGTTGATAATGGTGTAAACCACTTTATTTTAGATTGCTATTGGAGTTGTACATTGGGACTATCTTCACTTTGAAGCAGGTTATACAGAAGTCTATTGATAAAAGGAAATAGCTCTGCTCCTCTTTAGTGCAATTGCAAAAGATTTTTGAATGAATCTGAAAGGAAAACGAGCTTTTGTGAAAGACTAGTAGATATTCGATCAATCCAAAGTGTGAGGCACTAAGCAGATAGAGAACCATTTTTCTTTCTCTGTGGAGTTCTCTATAACCTACCTTAAAGTGAAGACAGTCCCAATTTGCAACTTATGCTCCAATGTGCAACTTGAGTTTCTCAATCCATATTGCTCAGACAATCGACAATATTTCTTAGTTTAGCTTCTACGATTCTTGAGTAGACTTTCTTTGGTACTATAAACAGTAAGTAATCTCGAATAACATTTCCTAGTATCTCATTTCCTGTAAAGGGACAAAACTACAGTCCTTTCATATCATTTTCTAATACATTTGTAGCCTTTGTACGCACAGCATTTCGGGTTACTTCGTCCAGACCAGCTGACTTGCCAATTGCCTAGAACAAATCTTTCTTGCTGATGAAATGGTCTTCACCATAATAAACCTGCTTAATATCATCCAAACTGATCCAGCATTTTTACCCCCATTTAGCAGAATCTAGAAATATTCTGTTCATTTGTCTACTATATATTCGTTTAGCCATATAATGGATACTGATCCTTGTTTTCTTTTCCGAAATTTTGGCACTGTCGTTCGCTTAATGTATTTTTCCAATGTTTGGGTTCAATTTCGCGTTTTCCCTCATTTTGAGACCAAATACTAACAATCAGTTCCAGTTACATAGAAGAACTTATAGCTTCGCCCTTTCCATATTTCATTTGTGCAGAGGGAATAATGCACTTTAATATTAAAAGTTCCTATTTTTTATGATATGGTCCAACTTTCGAATAAAATAAAGGAAATAAAAATGTTTTTTTTTAATAGCGATATAACAATTTTACTAAACAATCCATCACCTATTCATTAAAAGTAGTTCAGATTAGGTATATATTACTTTAGTTTATAAAACAGATATTAATATGACTCATTTCCAGGGAAGTATATACAATTTAAATTACCTCTAAGAATCAGTAAATATATAAAACAAAATGTTAAATTGCAAATATTAAATAAAAAAATCAAGATATTCTGCAAAGTATTTTTGAATTAAGTTTTATTATTATAATTTTATAATTTTTATAATAGAGGCCTTCTTAAGCGATCTCCGTATAGAATAAATGAAGTTAAATTAAAAAAAAAAATAATGAAAAATAAAAACAAAAATAATAAATTTAAAAAAAAAATAATTTTTTACAATTAAATTATTGTATTAATATTTGTTCGTTAATATAATCAATAAAATATAACAAAAACGTTATTATAGCACTATAACTAAGCCATTTATGAGTACTGAGTGGTGTGGTAGAGGCCTGTAGGCACCCACGCCAGTAGCGCTTTTCTGCCGCTTAAGTACATTTTATACGGAACTACTTCAAATATTTTAAAAAGTAATCAGTGTTTTAGAAAGAGAAATGTATTCTCCAGATGTTTTATTTCAGCACGTTTTGCATTATTGTTGACCGTTTAATTACAAACGACGCTTGATTTTCAACTTGAAAATTTTTTTGTAAAAAAAATTGACTTTACCGATTTTTTTTAATGCCTAAGCCAATTAGTTTTTAATATTTTTTCATGTTTTATTATTCTCTGACTATCCAGCTTTAATAAAAGACCAACTATAATGAAATTAAGCCAAATGCTGATTCTCAGTAACAAAAAAACTAACTAAAGTCAAAGTCGTCAATCCGCCATGTTTGGACGCCATTTTGGGGCAGTTCGTTCACTTTTTTTTGTGGGAACATTGGCTTTTTTTTAATAAATTGTCACAAGGAACACAACGATATGCAATTTATAGGGATGTGGGGGGGGGGGTGCACGGTAAGGGGGTCTGGCCCACAGACTATTTATAATTCAAGCCGTCTTCTTCTGGAATACCATCCCTCCCGATATCCGACATGCACTATCAGTTTC